ATATATATATATATATATATATATATTTATATATTGTGAACGGGTATTCATATATTTAATTTTGTTACTCTACTTATGTAATGTTAATTGCACAGAAGATTCTTATGGCTTGACAAAGTCACAACACATACTGTACATACAGTATTCAATAGACGTTTAAAATATATGCACAGAGTGACTATGAGGTCATCTTCGTCAACCTGAAAGAGTTAATTAGCCAAGGAATAACCAACGAAAATGATTGCTAGGTATTTCTCATAGCTTTCTACATTGTGCTGTTCTATATTCACAGTTGAAGCAACTGAAACACAGCTTAAAGAAGAGACAGAGAAATAAGGTATAATTCTGTCCCTTGGGTTTGGAAATGAAGAGAATCCAAGTTTCTATTCCAATGCTGAGGTCTTAAAGGCCAAAGTATATCACACAGAACTGGTAATCAGGATGCATTCGCTGCTCTACTGAGACATAGGAGGCACAATTACAGATATCAGAACCTATTTCTGACAAAGCAAGAGCGACTGAGTTGTACTTGATATTACTATAAATACAGAGTGCTGGAAACATGATAACAAAGCAGACTGGGTCTTTTTAAATCTTTTTAGAGGCAATAATTATATTTTGTATGATTTTGTACTAATTTTGTAGACAGATGGACCTAAAACAAAGATCCCCACTAAGCTTATCCCACCCCTTTTTTTCTGTAGGTACATTTTCTTTTTTCTTTTTTTGTCTGTTTCTACCGACATGATTCATTAAGTCCTCACAGAAATGCATTGCCAAACACACAAACGCACACACACACCGACAAACAAACACAACTCTGTAGGGAACAGCTATTGTGAGTCTAATATTGCAAGTGCAGTCTGAGTTGTGTCATTTTATGACACAATCCTTCTCTTGGAATGAGTTCCCTGGGATAGGGCTGTGGAGTAATCAGTGGTCATGTGTGGGAGGCAATGAAAGCCCATTAACCGAATACCGTGTAGCAGCAGGATTCCACTTGGACAGCAACCCCTTCCTAGGACAAGACAGGAATTGGTGAAGGAGTCAAAGAAGAGGAAAAGCCTGTTCCCACCTCCATGCTAAAGAGGGGAAGCAAATGGAGTGAAGTACAAAGCATGAAAAAAAAAAAACTGAGTAGAAGGAAGATGAAAAGGAGGTGGAGAAAACAGCCTGGAAGCAGGCATCCACCCCACTCCCAATGCCCCCAATTGAAATTGGAAGGTTTTGTTGCCAAAACAGCTGCTACTGATATGAACCTAGCTGGAAGTCCTTTGGGGGCAGTTTGAGACCCAGAGAACTGGTTCCTAATGGGTCCATCATGTTTTTGTAGCGATTTCCACGGTGCTTCATCAGGAAAGGTCCCCAGTCAGGCTGAGGGGAGCAGACCAACTTCAAACGCTGCAACAGAACACAGAGTGTTATTGTCGAAGGCAATATATCATGTTTATATTAGCATTTTGAGGGTTTTTCTGCTGGCAGAGGGTTTGTCAACGGTGTATGTATAAACATTATATAGTAGAGCTTATGTTTAAAAAAGAATAACTATAAATTCAATATTATTTGTAAATCATGTGATGACAAAATCAGATGACATAGATCCACAAACAAGTTGTTCTCCCGTGAGCTTTTAACACAGTATCTTGGGCACTAAAACCTTGGTAGATCTGAATTTTTACTGCAGTGAAACTTAAACCAGCAAACCAAATATATTTTGAGATGCAAAGTGTGTATTCATGTAACTTAAAATATATTGCTCAATAAATCTTCTTTCCAACAGACCTGTGAGGTATGGACATTGCACACACATTTATATTCTATGTGTATACATGGTATAGTCCTATAATGGAATGAACTCCCCCTGTCCCTGCGCTCTCTGGACTCAGTGGATATCTTTAAAAAGCAGCTAAAACTCCACCTGTTTTCACAAGCCTTCCAAAGCACATAGCTTATTGTTTTATTCACTTACTTATTTTAGCTTTTACTGCATTTTATCTGTTTTTACTTGTGTTGTTTATATGTTATCATGTGAAGCACTTTGTGACTTTGTCTGTGAAAAGTGCTATACAAATAAAATTTACTTACTTACTTACTTACTTATAACACACAGTGGCCAGTTAAACTACAAATCCCATCTGAACTTTTTCACATTTCGTGTATTTTATGGAATTGTATGTGATGACCATAACAAAAAAGCACATAATTCTAAAGAGGAAAAAATATTACCGGTATAAAGATTGTCATACTCTTTTACAAAAAAAGGATATGTATTTTGACACTTGTGTTCACAAATCTGGCTCCATACTTTGTAAAACAACAAATTCACTGCAATTTACAAGCTTTACATATCTAGAATTTAGCAAATTTTTTTTGCAAAGTTAATTCTACCTCAGTCACGACTAGGGGTGTAAATAATAATCGTTTTGTATCGATGCATCAATCCAACAGCCGACGATCCAATGCATCGACACGTTGTTAGCCACTACCCTCTTTCCGCTTGCACACACACACACACACTTGCATAAACACAGAGGCGTTATTATTTTTCAGTGAATTAGGTTATTATAGGCCTAGGTGGAATACAACTTAGCTACTTCTGTTATTTACTGTTGTTTCTCAAATAAAATGCATAATGATATTTAAACTTTCACTGATTTATTTCAAATTTTAAACATTGTCTAGCCTGTAAGGTTAAAAAAAAAAAAACGTAACCACTTAATCGAATTGTATCGTTCTTTTTATTCATGAGTATTGAACATAATCAAATTGTTGGGTTAGGAAATTGATACTGAATCAAATCGCCATGATGGGTGTGATTTACACCCCTAGTCATGACTGATTGAAAGTATCTTTTAAAATTAATTTGAATCATAAGCATAGATTTAATTAATTTGATTTAGGTCTGGCCCTTCACTTATAGGAAGCGCTTTGATCCACTCTGTCCCATTTGTTTGTTATTTAATATCTGTGAAAATTCCATTAGAACAGACAGTATTTGCTCACAGGCAGACATAACAACATGACAACATTATGCACTTCCAGCCCATGTTTTGGACTTCTAAAAAATCAGTCTTGGCACATGATGAAACATGACATTTCTGCCTTTTTTCTTTGGTACCTGAGAACTATTAGTAGAAACTTGAAATGGTTATGATTATACAGTATTACTGACCTGAAAAGTATTACTGACTTGAAATGGTTATGATTATACAGTATTACTGACCATTGCTGTAGCAGGAATGACATAAGTGGACTTTAACTGAATTGAGCACATGGGTTCCTTTGTAATACAAAGTTTCCTGGGAGCAATTATAGGTGTTATTGCCACATCAGGTTGAAGAACAGATTTTTCTGAGAGAATGTATTTCCCTTTAGACTCTTAGTCCTGATGGAAGCTGTACTCTATTGACAAAGCTCTATTTTTGTGTCAAGTCTTGTATAACCTACAGCAGGTTCCTCCCTATATTCCCCATATTTCAGGCTTTCCATCTTACCATCAATTCTGACCAGCTTTACTGATTGCAGAGAAATACATCGGATGTATTTCCGATGTATTTCTTGTTCTGGGGATGTATTACATCCCCAGTGCATAAAGCTGTTATCATTTATAGGTCTTTTCCTACTAAAGCACTGTATTCATATGCTTGCTGTGTCAGGTGCCAGTATGTCCATATGGGCAAGTCCACATCCTAAAACATCTTACTCAATAGTGGTGTTCCTCAGTGCTGTGTTCTAAGCACGGTCTTCACTTGCTTTACTTCTCTGACTGTGTCACAACCCATGGCTACAGCACCCTCATAAAATTTGTATACTAAATAACCATTTTGTGGCTTAACAACAATGGCGTCCATCTCCGCTGGAGGTAGGATGAAGGAACAGTCCTTCTAGTGCTAAATTAAAACAGCTTTTTAAAAAGCCATCTTAAATCATCTTTAGAGCATTCTACTTCATCTTTGTCAACATTATTCTCTCGATCTATCCTCTGTTCATTTTTAATAAATAAAGCTTGTCTCCTCTGCCCTTCACTGTAGCTCACAGCCACATCTAGTCCCTTTAGATACATTCTTCTGCAAAATGGCAACAAGAATATAAACAAAAGGGCGAGGTGGTGATCAAAATTTGCCACCTTTGCCAAAATTGTGCCAACTGCCTACCTAAGTTCACCATGTTCGCCTCACTGCGCTTTGCTTTGCTACAGACCAGTTCTCTACATACAACAGGAACCATTCGCTCCAGCTGTTAATTTCAAGTCTGGTGGAGAACGTAAGTTTCTCAACTAGATTTTTTAAGAGTGAAGCAGGTATGGTAGTAATTATATATATATATATATATATATATATTTTTTTTTTTTTTTTTTTGCTATTGGGGCTGTAGCGTGTTAATCTGCCTCAGCAAACCAATGACAGTCTTTTCAGCATGGGGTTAACTTTTTCAGAAAGCTTCCCCCATTCATATGTGCAAATAAGGAGATGAGTGTGTCACAGTTTCTGCAGTAGTTATTAAAAGGCAGAGTATCATCATAATCCACTTTAATTCTATACATTTCAGCATAACCAGGGTCAGTGCTAAAATTCTCTTGGGAGGAAGCCCAGATGTAAGTTAAAGGACAGTGATGCTCATAAAAAAAATGAATGTTTCAGTGTAACAGGGAGTTTTTTGAGTATTACTGTCCAGTAAGGTTAGCAAGAACTCTGAAGAACAAAGTCACTCCACCTGTGCTGAGAAGCATTTACAATTGCACAAGAGAATGTGCGAACAATGGAGGTACAGTATTATAAATCCATCGGTCAGTATGTAACATAATTCATCTTAGAAAAAACAACTGCAGTGGGTCATAAACACTGCTCAATGGAGCATGGTTTCCCCACTCCCATAACTAGAGCTCTGTTTGAAAGACCTCGAACATTTGGGGAGTCAATACTCACCTGAGGTCTTTTGTTGTGCTGATTCTGCATACTCTTTCCAGAAAGGGTTTTTTGTGGGTCTTCCCCAATAAAATAATACTAATTTCAGATTACTTACTGGTACTACTATCACTGAATTATGTCCGAACTATGCGTCTGACAAGTCCTAAGATGTGGAAATCTCGTTTTGAAAGGTTTAATCTGACAAAAATGAAAACGTATATTAAAAAAGGCTCGAAGATCTAGGGAACAAGAAAAGGTTTTAAAATCGGGAAGATGTTATAGCTGGTTTTGAATTATACAGAAGGGTGTTGAGATATAAAGGAGAAGAGATTATTTCAGAATTAAGCTTCTAATTGTAATATGGCCGCTTTATTGTTAAACAACAACTGCTTTATAATGCGGTTTGGCTGTGAAATGTATAGAGGGTAATGTGATAATCAAGAGAGAAAATGAAAGGACTTAATTAATTAAATTTAGATCCGATAAGAGCTTGCATTCAGGGTTATTTTCCCATATTACAAAGTAATCTAGACAAGAATCTGTAATTGATGCTCCTGTCAGTGATACTGAGAAAACAAAGCTGTTTGGACAAAAAGCCACAACCATCATCGTCCATTAATCAAAGCATTTAAAAGAGACTCGGAAGACTCCCATAAATATGAAAGAATTAATCCTCAGCCTGCAGCTTGTCTCTCCGTGCTAATGAGAGAAGGATGTGACTATTGATTTAACCGGTGTGTATCTGTTTGTGCATGCATGTGTCAGAAACAAAAAATACAAAACAATATCCAACCACAGTTTCATCTCAATTATTACCTCGGCTATGCTGCCAGGGGCCAGGTAAATCTTAATGAAAAACATGATGGGGATCCAGATTACTGAGCAAATAACCATCAGCCAGCCCAGGACCATAGACCAGGTGGGGTAGGTGTAGTCCTCGTATGTCATCACTTTCCACTGGTACAGACTGAGTCCCAGGATGCCCTGCACAAATAATGAACTTTCAGTTATTTTTAATATCTTGGTTTGTAATGTATTAAAGAAATGAATACAACATGTACTTAAGTAACATATTTAGTGATTTTCAAACATAAAAATGTATAAACTCTTTCATAAAGGTAATCAGAGATTGTTTGATTATAAGGTTTTCTGCAAATGGTTCCAGTCTTGATAAAGGAATCTCAGAGTTTTCTTTTACAGCTCAAATCTTTATTCAGGGGTGTTCAGAACATGTTCTGGACTATATCTAATGTTCCTTGAAATTGCCACCGAAGATGAGAGGCCATTTAGAAAGACTTCGATATGGCTTCAAAGCAATTCTGGTCCACAATCCGGCATCTCAGGATGGGGAAGCAGTGCAGTACCAACACTATTTATAGTGGGGTGGTGTGCTGCTGTCCTCATCTCGAGATCCTCCAATGAGGAAGAAGAGTCTGGGGGCTCTGGGTCGGGTTCTCCCATCTGTGGTGCTGAGGTCACTGGGGTGGTTAAAACACTCCTCGGTGATAGGACCCCAGGGGTGGATGAGATTTGCCCTGAGTACCTTAAGGCTCTGGATGCTGTGGGGCTGCGTTGATTAACGCGACTTTGCAACATCGCGTGGACATCAGGGGCAGTTCCCCTGGATTGGACTGGAGGGTGTGTTCCAACTACAGAGGAATCACACTCTTAAGACTCCCTGATAAGGTCTATTCCAAGGTTCTGGAAAGGAGGGTCCCTCGGATAGTCGAATCTCAGATTCAGGAGGAGCAGTGTGTTCATAACTTTTATGGACAGAATTTCTGGGTGCAGCCAAGTGGCCTTAGGATCAAGTCTCTGTTATTCGCAGATGATTTGGTTCTATTGGCTTCATCAGGGCGTGATCTACAGCTCTCACTGGAGTGGTTTGCAGCCGAGTGTGAAGCGGCCGGGATGAGGATCAGTGCCACCAAATCTGAGACCATGGTCTTGAGCCGATAAAGGGTAGAGTCCCTTCGCCAGGATGGGGAGGATGTGCTGCCCCTAGTGAAGGAGTTTAAGTATCTTGGGTTCTTGTTCACAAATGAGGGGAAGATGGTGTGGGAGATCAATAGACTGATTGGTGCGGCGTCTGTTGTGAAGCACGTGCTCTACCGGTCTGTTGTGGTGAAGAGAGTGCTAAACCAAAATGCAAAGCTCTCGATTTACCGGTCGATCTTCATTCCTACTCTCATCTATGGTCATTAGAGCATTAGAGGGACATCTGGGCCTCCCTACTGAAGCTGCTACCCGGGCGACCCGACCTCGGATAAGCGGAAGAAGATGGATGGATGGATGGATGGATGGATGGATGGATGGATGGATGGATGGGAAATTTAAAAACAACAAAAAAAATCAGGTATAATAGCAAATTAAAATAGTAAATAAACAACAATAACTGAATGCTAGAAAAAATAAATGAAGTTTGTGTAACAAAACCCCAGTGAGGGAACACAACTCAACCTAATTGAAATGCTGTGTTGAAACCTTTATTACTTTTAAATCTCACTGATATCAGGTAACAAAGTGAAAAAGTTTATCTAAAAAAAATTTACTTTTCAACTATTGATGTCATATTTAAACGGAGATCAGTTTTTAGTAGATAATAATCAACCAGTTTATTTTACTTTGGCTGAACTTTTACTTTAAAACATATTTATGTTGAATGAGAAGAATTGTCTGTTTTGAACTACAAATATTTTATTCTTGTTCTAGATTCTCAAGGTACTTATAGCAAATAACAAACAGAGAATCAATAAAGATCAACTATATTACAAACAAGATATGTTCAAGAGAAAATTATCTTAAAGGTATAAGCTTGTCTTTACAACCTATAATCTAAACTCTGGTTTCTTAAAAGCCTATAGCTTAAATGAGTTTAAATTAAACATCCAGCAGTGTATATTTTTTTTTATTAAATAATTGTTCATATATGTATTTTACTAGATATATCATGTATATGATATATAACATGTCTTCTCATGACACTTTACAAAGTCAATTCATTTTAATCATAGAGAAAGATTTCAAGTCAAGCATATAACCCGAATAATCCTATTTATCAAACGGTGCAAGCTGGTTAAAAATCTCTTTATATAAGCAGATGCTTCTATAATGACGATTGAATAATGAAGAAAAAAGATGATTCTGATTCCATGAAATCACAGACTTTCAGCATTCAGTACTCTTGGTTGAGTGTGGTAGAAAAAGTGGACAGTTCCTTACATTCCATCGTTGACCAGTGGATAATAACTTGGTACTTTTACTCAGCTACCTTTATTTGAGTAACTTTTCCACCAAATATAATTTTGTTTTGTTTTACTGCATCCTACTTTTTACTTTTCCTCTGAGTAATTCTATCAGAAACAATTGCTTCTCTTACAAAACTAAAATGTTTAGTATCTCTGCCACTGAGTGTTCAGTGGATGAAGAACAAGCATTATTACTATTATTATTATTTTTTGGTAATTGTTGGTTTTTGGTGCCGCTCGATGTAGGATGTATTGCTGTAAGCCCTACAGTTTGTTCTTTGTTTTTTTTTTATTACTATTGTTATTATTTTTGTCTTTGTTTTTTTTCTTCTTCCTTTGGTCTCTGTAGCACTTTGAGATTTCTTTGAAATGTAAGGTGCGTTACAAATAAAATCTATTATTATTATTATTATTATTAAGTTTTTATTTATTATTAGCGATTCTGCGGGTGCATAAATTATGTTAGCTTGTAGCTATTCAGCTTTGCCATTCCAACTTTTTTGTGACAGAGAAAAAAAATGCAGCAGTTCTGACACATAAACCTGAAACTGAACCGGTTTAGTAGACAAATATAAATAAAGCATATAATTAAAACAAACAAGAAAAACAAATGGAACTATGATTTACAAAAACATAGAAAAATAAATTGAAAGACTATGAAATTTTGTGCTATATGTGGGAAAATATCACTTCCAGCCCAACTTTTGAAAGCGCTTGCATATCTTACAAGACAATTTTTTGATATTATATTAATCTTATTTTTCCTGTAAACATCAATTCAACAACAGAACGTCAATCCTTAAATGTTTTTCCCAAAATATTTCAACTAGGGATGAAAACCATCTTCCTGTCCAGATGCTGCAACAAAAGGATAGATGACGATGGAAAATAAATACATTTGAGATTCATTTTATCAGTGATTTGCTAGCTACTTGGGAAAAAAAAGTCAACAGACGGAACATGTTAGTCAGACAGAAATAGATCAGCTGCAGTAAATCATTTATTATACAGACCTTCTACGAAACAAGCAGCCGCTCTAACTTCTGCTCCATTTGTCCACATTACCTCTGCTATGCTGGTTCAGTTTTTTTCTGATGTTTATGTAAATTATACATACTTATGCAGGCCAGGGTCCAGCTCTGCCATATTAGTAAAATCTGTGCCACATATTTTACAACAGCTGCTGGACAGAACTGAGAAACAAAAGTAGGTTTCATGGAAAGTGTGAATAATTTACACGGGTAAAACAGTTGTCTACCTGGTTCAAGATGGCTATATAGAGCTGAATTATAAGCTGCAGTGAATAACAGGTAGTTATAGAGATATGGATTGGGAAAAGAGTTGTCAGCACAGAAATAGGAAGAAAAAGGAAGAAGCGTTTGTGTTTGAGGACTTTTTAGCTCACCTGTTAAAAATGCTAATTAATGCACTTGGAAGGAGATGGATAGAACTGATTCATTTTTAAACACAAATCAGTGGCATTGTGTGTGTATGTGTGTCTGTGTTTGGGGTGGGGGTGGGGGGTTGATGATAAAAAACAAACATACTGTCAAGATTGTTGGAGTCACAAAGGCCCAGCACACTCTCCAAAATCGGTTTGGCTGGAAACCAATCATCATTTCGATGTCCTCGCAAAACCTCTGCAGACCTGTGAAAGACGGGGGAAAAAAAACAGAAGGAGATAAAATCAAAGAAGAGAAATGATGGGAAGGCGGAAAGGGGAATGCAGAGAGTGACCTGGGTTTGATAAGGTCCCTTGAAAAGGAGATCGGCAAATTTCATGTGTGCGAGTGTGTGATTGGGGGGGTGGGGGGTAATTTTGTGTGTGAAAAAGGGCATCAGATTCTTTGAAAAACTGTGAGGGAGCAGATGGCTTCATTCCTTTGTCTTTATTGACAGATAACTGTGAGTGACATGAAGAGGCAGAGTCACACAATCATTTCAATATGTAACCTGTACTGATGCTCTGGCATCCTGGAGCCAAGCCTCTTGGTTGGTAACAGCCACCTGATACACACCTGAGTCCTTGGCTCTTTGGAGTTTCAGGCTTGTACATTACAACAGAGACCCCTGGTGGCCATATGTGTAATATCAGGTAACAAGCATGAAGGACAATTGGGCAAATCCCAATATTTCCTGAAAGGCCAACAGTAATCACAAAATTCTCCCAGATGTAATTGGTGTCCCAGTTAAGGTGTTCGACTGAGTGTGTTTGGGTTCATGGTGCCTCAGGCTGGAATCAAGACAAATAATGGGAGAAAAAAGCTGTCTCACAACATGTGAATATGAGGAGTTTACATTTACAGGTACCCCCAGTAAAGACGCTTAAAAAGATGGAAATATACTAATCACTGTAACAAGATCTCACATTGAAGATTTGTATTTTAATCAAACCTTTCATTTACCGGTACATTTTTTTTTTTACAAAAATATTCAAAAGTTAAGAGATAATTGTTTCTAATAAAATAACTGGTGTAGCAAGTTTTGCTAAACAAACCAGAAAAGCACATGTAGGGTGCAGACCTCTTCCATGAAGCTCGTTTCCCCCAACATTTATTTGGCTTCTACCTTAAGACAATACCTGTATCTTTCAAAAAAATCCTTGATATAGATGGTGATCCGGATCTTCACCAAAAGGTTATCATGTGTTGCCGGTCAAAATAAGCATCTTCTGTGAAAGTCTCAGCGAAATCTGTCCATAACATTTTTTTTTTAATAATTTTTTTAAAAAGACAGAAAGACAGAATGTGTGCTTTCTCATTAAACTGTGAGGTTATTACTTTCTAAGTAGATGGCTGGAAGCATGATTAAAAAAAAATACACCATTTAAATAAGAAAAACACGTAGTTTGGTCAAATCTGCTGGGATTTTATGTGGAGTGAACTGAAGAAAACAGCATACGAAAGGAGCCAAAAATTCTTATAATTTCGAGCGATCATGCAAAGAGGAATAAGCTAAGATTTCTCTCTCTGAATACTTAAAGGAGAAGACCAATATCAAAAGTGCTGAAAAAAATCTGGAAACTACGGTATCAAAAGAAACCGTAACATGATTTTTTTATCCCCACTGAGCAAATGTAATCAAATCAAAGAGTGAAGGATTTGATATTTTTTACTGATCTTTATCATTGCTGTAAGGAAGTTGCTAAAACTCAAGATCCAATTGTAACACATTCTGTTTCTCTTAAAATCTCTAATTGGTAAAGCAGTCACTATACATAATAGTTGGAACAGAATATTAATAAAAATAAAGGTTTTCAACCAAATAAATGCAAACAAAATCAGAAATGATCACTTCATGTTTTCTACCATCAACTATTAAGGAGTTTCATAGATATCTTACATAAGTAAGTTTTTACATACAGTACTACAGCACAAGTGCTAATTAAATTACCCCTAAATAAATGTTTACACACATATAAAGTATGTACAACTTTTTTTCTTTTTTTTTTTTAACCAAAGCACAGGGCTAAAGATTTTATCCATCTGTTTCTCTATCTCTCTGCTAAGCACCTGTGTTTGCTGTTCTCCCCCCCTCAGCATCCTTTGCCTTTATTGATCTCAGCTGTACCTCTCAGCTTTCCAGTTTAAGTTACTCTGTGCTTACTGTGGTATGTTCCCTTTCTCTGCACCTCCACTTGTTGTGGTTCCTTGACCTGTTCTCTGTATGATCCCCCCTCTAAGACTAATTTTGATTGTTATATAAATCTGAATTTGTTATTCAAAATGCATTGAGGTACTTCCAAAAACCAACGCAAAATGACAGTTGCTTAAAGAGAGAAAGCAAGTGAAGTAAAAAGGACATATTATAGGTCATTTACTTACCGTACAGGTAAGAAATCCCAATCAGCTCAAATATGGCAATGATGACCAAAGAATAAGAGGCTGCATATGTGTCCACCAACTGGAGCATGTACATCCCGCTCTTTAAAATTTAACACAAAATATAATTAGTGACATCAGATTTAATACTTCATCAGATGTCTGTTCTCTAATATTAAGGGAGAATTGTTTAACAATATCCGCACTTGTATTTTTGGATGTGTGCACCTGTAAGAACTTTCTTAGATTTAGACTTAGACAACATTTATTTCATTTTGTTCAGCTCTTCTGACATTTCCATAGTGTTGCAATGATCAAATGTAACATTGTGGGAGAAAAAACATGGTGCAAAAAAAAACAAAAAAACATTGATATGGTCAGTTTGATGCAGCGTCTATGGCACGGGTGTCAAAGTGGTTCCAGAAAGGGCTGTGTGGGTGCAGGTCTTCTTTCCAACCAAGCAACAGCACACCAGACTAGAGTCATATCATGAAGTGAGTCCAATCTGAATATGATGACTTGATGAGATGACTGGTGTCTAGTTTGCTGTTGCTTGGTTGGAAAGAAAACCTGCAGCCACACGGCCCTTTCTGGAACCACTTTGACACCCCTGGTCTATGGAATTATTTAGAGTTTTTTCAACATTCAGCTGTTTGATGGTGGTGGGGAATAAGCTGTTTTGGAATCTGCTGGACCAAAACAGGTGTGAAAAGTTGAAAAGCACATTATTTTATCTTGTACAACTAAGTAATTGATTAATGTAACTTTAGAAACATTTGTATGGGAGGGAGGCGTAGATTGAGGGGTTGTCAAGGAAAAGAAGTACTAATACTTGCATATATATAATGTAACATTAAGTGTTTCGCTTTACTCATCATAAATTAAGAGAAAGTACAGTAAGTCAAAGCAAGCCTGCAAAGTGTTACAGGCACCCAGTAGCGCCATAACGCAGAGCTGAAAAAAAAACTAGGGAAAATCACACAGGGAACTTTCACTGAGACAAGATTGGAGCGTGCAAAGCAATAGATTCAAGAAATGAAGCTTAAGCATAAATTAAATCTGGAAGACACTTATAGGCTTCAGCTGAACCACCTGTGATGTCCCTTGTTCGGGGGCCACATCTTCTCTGAAGCCAATCAGATCCCCTGCAAGCTCCTGGATTTAGCTCCTGGCCCAGCATCCCTCTCCAGCATGCAAGCTAACGTTCACCCAACTCATCTCCTCCCTTATTCTCAGTCCTACTCACCCTCTGGTTTATTCTGTCACCAGTGTCCTGGCCCCTGCGGAAGATTATCTTCCCCCGGGGGAATATCACTCTAATCCTTTTCTAGGTTACGTTTATTCACAGCATCAAAGTCTTCTGCTGGAGCCCAAATACAGAAGAAATTATTTCATTTATATCTGCATCTGCTTCAATCTTTTTGAACCCCAGTCACCCTTTGCAGATGGACGCTCACAATGAGCCTGGTTCTGCAAGTGGTTTCTTCCTGTTAAAAGGGAGTTTTTCTCTCCACTGTGGCTACATGCATGCTCAGTAAGAGCGATTGCAGGGAGTCAATCAATCCTCGCAATCAGCTAATTTTACTTAGATATATGTTAAAGACTATGATAGTGTTATCTGTATAAATAAATTGAATATTTTCTATTTGCAACTTTTGCCTGTGTGAGTCTCTCCAGGTTGTAGTTGTGATTACTGACTCGTAGTGGTAGTGGTAAATGTTGTTGAAGACAAACCATTTTGAATATGTAATAAGTTCTTTGTGTGTGTGAAAAAAAAATCTGCAGGTGAAAATTGTACACACAAGCTCAAATTGTTTTTGCATGCATGTGAATATTTCTGTACAACAAATTATTTATTTGTACTACATTAAACATTTCGCTTTTCAACTTCTCACTTAATAATTTACAGGTGTACACATCCAAAATATATATTATGAGACACTTTTACCTCCATATACAAAGAAGTATATGTAAATCATACCTCTGTTATCATTGGAAAACCCAGGATGAAGAAAGACGCACAGCATACCAGGGTGAAGAGCGGTTTATGCTTCCTCAAGTATTTGGGGTACTCATCTGTCACGGATGTTACAATCGTCTCAATGGTGGCAAACTGAAAACAGTTTGAGGAAGAAGGAGATAATGTGATAGGACAGGAGAGAAGATGGAATGAGGAGGATGAAAAACTCATCACATATATTCTGTAGTTGTCTCTCTGTACTGCAGAATCACCAGCCTGCAGCCTGCATTAAAGCTCATTTAAACAGGAGCAGCTGCAGCTGTCAAAATTTGTGCATTTATTAGTGTTATGAAGCATTTGTCTACATTTATCTAATAAACATTCTTAAAGTAATTTCATTTGCTTCCAACACAGTTAATAGGAACATTTATATAACTCTGTGCTGCAGAAAAAAACAAAAAAGGAAGAATTTGGATTACAGGGAAGCGACCTGACATGTGGGAGTCAGCCTGAAGAAAAGCAAATATGACATCATGGTGAAAGAGCCTCTGAGCCCAGAGGAGAACAGCAGATGAATATATAAACAGGGAAATTTAAAGAGGCTGGTATTGTGAGAACATACGCATGAGAACACAGTGAAAATGCACTGACAGAGAGCTAGATCTGCCACTTCCCTGTTTCTCGCCTTCCTTCTGAGCTCCCAAAACTAATTTCCTGTCAACATCCCAAGCCTATTACTGTTGAGCTGCTTCCTAAAACAAAGCCAAAAGCCCTCCCATCTGAGCTGCCACTACCGAGGCACAGTAACATCATCATTTACTGTTTCTGTTGACGTGTGTCCTAATGTGCCAGGGTGCCCCCTGCCCTGCTGCTCAGCTCAGGGGCATCAGAATGCACTTAAAGGAATTGGTGCATTATGGGGAGATGTTTTCTTAGGATCATTCTCACAAGCCTGGGGTGTTTAAGAAATCATGATGAGGTATATCAGCACAGTAACTCACAAACAAATACAAAGCTTAAACTATTTATTTACATACTCTTAATGTAAAAAAAAAAACAAACAAAAAACATGACCCTTTTTATTTTAATGGTCCGACATTAAGTCAGAATAAACTTTTCTGTTATAATGCAGTAAGTACTGGAAAAATATTAAATTCATATTTCTTAACTGAAATGTAAATGTGGAAAACCTGTGGAGGCGATATAAGACATATCAAATTCATCCTCCTGTGACATCAAGAATAAATATGAATACGTTAAGATTTTAGGAATAAAAAGGTGGAAAATTCATTGTAATCATTTTAGGGTACAATGTCGAAATTCTTTCTTTTTTTAATCTTACTGTTAATTGTCCTGTTTAGTTAAAAAATATGTTTTTTTCAAGAGCATCTGAACAAGTGACAACAAATATAACACAAATCATTTTACACAAAACAACCAACTATGAGCACAGATTAATGTTATTAACATGAACCCTTAGTTTGGAAGGAAAAACACTCAATGAGAAGCAAAAAATTGAAGATTTCACAATTTTCACTGCAATCGGAGCACAGATAGAGGCTGGAAGAAGTCTAAGAAATGCCTTTTCAAATAGAAGTTAAACAATGCGAGTTCCTGAACAAGAGACACTCATCTCTGGCCAAAACAGGTAACTCCATTCATAAATATAAAGTGCAATATTGTTTTGACAATTTGATGTTTGAAATTTACCCCAGCGAACAGAGGTAGACAACATCAAATGAATTCTAAAAAAGCAAATACATACATGGGATCCACATAATCCAACACAGACATAAAAGATAAAGCGAAAATACACTTCTTAGCAGTATATAAAAAAGTTCCCACATTATTCTTTTTAATAATTATAGGGGAGGAGATGATTTTGTACTTTAGAAATTAATCTTTTGCATAGGTGGGTGTTTCTATAAATATTAATAATACCTAAAGTTTTTTATTGTGCTTTTTTTCCTTTTTTTGTTTCCATGACTTTATATTGCATTAAATGTCAGGGAATAATTTAAAAAGTCATGGGCTTAAGGTTGATGTTTACAATTAAACATAATTCACTTTAATAGTGAGATGTACTTTTCTTCTCTCTAAAAACTTTTGAATTTAATTAGTTTGACACTTTCTAATCACACACAGACAGCCTTTGTTCAGCTACCTGGAGAGTTAAGCTCTTGAGCAGACAGTCACAGCAGGTAACATACTTGGGTAATCATGTTAATTGGGTCAATGCCTGCAGTGTTTACACATCACCTGATGTTATCTGCAAAGTTGAAGTGTTTTTCTGTAGCAAAGGGAATTCAGGAGAATCATATTGCTGACAGAAAATCTGATAACTTAGAGATAATTCAAATCCAAAAAAAACAAATAAAACAATGTGTATTTTTCATAGCTTTAATAAGCCTTAAAATGTGTTTAAAACATTGATTTTTTTTTTTCAAAACATGTAAACAGCATAGAGCAATTAATCTTCTTTAAAACTTCAGAAAACTCTTCTATCTGAAGTTGAACCAAATAAATTTTTTTACTGTATAATCTTGAATCACCAGCAGAACTCAGTATCATAGATTTCAAAGCAACATCAGATAAGAACTTTCTTAGGAAATGATATTGATAGTTCTTTGTTATGTTCTTTTATGAGTAGCTGAATATAATGAGTGTTAGGGGGTTGGTGGCTTTAATTACTGGCTGTGTTTTAGAGGGATGACAGGCCATGGCAGATATCCCCTAGTTTTTAAATGCACTCAAGAACAACTTGCAACAGCACTAAATCTGAGCAGCGGAGGAGGGTTTGGGGTCTTTTCACCCTGTTGTTCTCTGTTTGCCAGCTGGGGTTTGAGTTTATGAGGAGGAGCAGGCCATCTGGTTAGGGTCTAGGCAAGAGTTGGTGGTTGTGTCTTGGAGGTCGATCGGTACTGAAGCTATCCTTACAGCCTTCCTTTGAATATCAGCTCCTGATCTAGGAGCCTGGTTTAGGGCTCTAGCATGGAGGAGTTGATTGGGCAGAGTGTAGCAGGAATAGTGGGTGTGGCCTCACTCTGGTGGGGTAGCTGCCCAGTTGGCTTGGTGCGGCCTTCATGGCTGGGGTGTGTTGTTGCAGGGTGGGGGTAAAACTGTTGGACATCTCTAGGTTAGTGGGTTAATTGGGTGTCCAGTCTTTGACATTCCCTGGCTCAGGTGCAACGCACTGAATGGAATGAATGCAGTTGCAGTTGTGTGGAGCGAAGGGGGACTACTTGCTCCTGCATGTTGGTGCCAGGGTGGAGGTTTTGCACCCTCTCAGGGGTGGGGTCACCAGTTTTTCCTCCCTTGAGCGTGACCATTTAAAACAATAATCCCAAAACATATGTATCTGTATGAGCAAAGGCATTATAACAGATCCTTAATGCTCTTGTAAAAATATATCTATTAGGCTTCTTTTTGGAAGTAAGAAAATAAACTTACTGATACGATCAGTAAGTTTCTAATAAAATCTAAATAACTTGAAATACTTTAAAGGTGTTAATATACTTTTAGTGAATTTTGGTACCATTTTTTCATAGGTGTATTTTTTCCTTAGAATCTTTAGATAAAACCAAAGAAACATGTACACATTTAGTAAGTGTTTGTTGTGGCAAAAACATCTTATGCAGGATAGTTTAAAAAGCTTTCTTGGGTCATCTGAAAATTATAAAGCCAGATACATGCATTTACTTTTTAAGAAAGACTTAAAAAAATTAATCTTGTTTTGTGATTCATCTTCACTGGTTACGTGTCCCACACCATGTGAAAATGTCTTCCTTGTACTGTAGTCAGTTGGCTGGGTTTTGTGACCCTAAGCATATACCTGAAGAAAAAATATGTTTTCTAAGAAAATCAGTTATCAGTGTTCTATTTTTCTGCCCCCATGTTGCTAAAAAAGCATTGTTGCATTTTTTTTCCTCTTGCACACATCCAAATAGTGCTTTGGTCTGAATATGTCATAACAGCTCTCTGTAGTCATTCATTTTTAGCAATTTCCTATTGTGCCTCTTTCACCAAATGATTTTGCTGTGGTCCGTTTAAATCCACAGGAGGCACTTCAGACCCCGCTCCCCTCCCATTGCAGGTCATTTCAAGCCATTTCGGCCAAGTTACAGTTTAATAGCGTAGATATGATTGTCTAGTACCAGAGAAAAAAAATTCACTAATCCCTGCTCATAATGGTTTTCTGAAGCACTTTGCCTAAACAAAGAGGACCTTTTCCACTTATTTATGTATGCACTTAGAAGATGTTTTGATCTGGGGGAAGGCTTTGACCTTTGTGGGTTTATACACCCACCAACCAAACAGAATCATCTTCTTGTTGCTTTCACATCCTTCAGCTTGGACTACAAAAATACTACGAAAAACGGAAAACAGAGAAATATAAAACACTGAAAACTATGACCCAAATAGCATCTAAATCAAAAAAGACATTAATATGCTAAGTTATCCTTTTCTTGACTTTTAAGTTTGGAGACTCAAATTTAAAAGGAAAAAAAAAATGGATTTTGCTTCATATTTCCCCTTGCTGTTTGTTTACTGCAGTTTTTACAATAAATTACACAAGGCACTAAGATAAGACCAAATACTACTTTGAATTCAAACCTTCTAAGCAAACAGATTATTTTAAGGATTCATCTGTGGTTTTGAGGAAATATAAACGGCAAGTATGCATTGAATGCAGGAACACCAGAATATAAAAAATGCAGCAGTTACCATGGTATCAAGTCCAAGAGTTAGGAGCATGAGGAAGAATATGATTGCCCAGAAAGGAGAGAGGGGAAGTCTGGTCAGAGCTTCAGGATACACCACAAAGGCTATGCCTGGACCTGAGAAAAATGCAAAGAATCATATAAATATGCATGTTTTGTATGCAATATCAATACAGATGTTTCCTCTGAGGTCCAGAGCAGATGAAAAAAAACAAAGAAACATATTTTACTCATCACCTGTTCCTGGATAATGGCTTGGTTTTCTTACCCTCATCTGCTACCTTCTCTATTGGCACTTTCAGTTCATGAGCCATGAAACCAATTACAGAGAAGATGACAAATCCAGCAAATATACTGGTCGCACTGTTGGTACACGTCACTATTACAGTGTCCCTGCAAGAGCAAAAACAGATCAGGGGGCCTGATGTAGCATAAGCCAATGATATTTGCATCACTGAATTCTTATATTTCAAAAAATTGCTGATAAATAAAATGGGCTGTTAATGTAAACAGGTCTAACAGTGCCATCTAGTGGCAGGAAGAATAACTGTGTTTAAATCCAAAAATGTTCCACAGCTTATCACTGCATGGTGCCACTTTACACACACAGACCCACGCACACAGACAAACAAACAAAAAACACAGTTTTGCTGCTTCTACTGAAGCCAAGCTACTTCTTTTTATTTGAAGAAAATTATTAAAATCTGTAACATGTTATAAATTCAGTCTTTATTTCAACAATTTAAAACAGTGACCATTAAAGGAAGAATCAACAAACTATGCCAGAAAAAGTGACATTTACCAGAATATTTCTATCACACATACAGATACAGCATCATGCATCTGTTGGGTCAAGTTTAATATTTCTGATAGATGCGTAGTTTACCTTTTAAGTGTTTACCTGTAGCAGTTATTGTGGAACTTATTGTATGAGGAGAGGGTAATGAGCCCTCCCCAGGCAGCCGACAAGGAGAAGAAGATCTGAGTTGCAGCGTCTTTCCACACCTGAGGAAGAAAGAAGGATCTACAGGTAATTTTTTTTTCTATTTTAGACGTAGACTATTATCTGTTGTAATAAAGGGAGGAACACTGTGTACCTTTGCATCATTAAGTTTTTCCCATTTTGGTGTAATAAAGTAAAGGATGCCATCAGCAGCACCAGGAAGGGTCACTCCTCTGATAAGAAGAATGACCAGCACCACATAAGGAAATGTGGCTGTGAAATAAACCACCTGGCCAGGGGGAAGAAAAGAAGCAACACGTTGGAGCATACAGGGAAAAAAAAGATATCTAGGTGCATAAAGAAAATATGCATAGCTCTTCAACTTTTTCAGGTGCTATCAGACTAAAGAAAACTAACCCAATAGCCCATTTTCCTTTGCTTTTGGAAAGTCTATGGCATGTTTTTATGCAATTTATACAGCTAATTTCACTTTACTGAGGGTTTAGGTTCTGATCAGATTTAGGAAATTTCAGCTTTCAGCAAGAAGCAGCAAGGAGATGAGTGTTGAGATTTTTTAATATACCATTAGTTTGTCAAAAAATGCTGTATTAAGAGGTTTTAGAGGGAGAAAAAGCCAAAGCTGCATATGTTCAGGCAGTTCATTTAAGTTATGAGTCTACTTAGAAATGTGCTTCTGGAGTTTTGGAGCAGCAGAGCTCCGCTGACCAGCCATTGTTGTTCCCAGACCTACTGAGAATTACCTGGATTACCTTAACTTGAAAAGGCAGTCTGGGATTTCCTGCTACATGTTTATTGGGTATGTAGTAAATAACTGCAAGTAGCAGAGCATAAAATGTAATATTTATTGCCAGAATTTTTTTTTTTTTTTACATTGTAAGATAACTTAGGTATACTTTGTTTTGCCACAGTAAAAAAAAAAACAACAACAAAAACAATTGATTGAACATAGCTCTCTCACTTTTCCTTGTGCAAAAGAAAAAAACATTTTCACTAAGGCTGGCTTTTCATGTAAACCTAGCTAATTAGAGTGTAAATTCTTAAAAAAAATGTTAAACTTTATGCAAACAGCTAGATGCAGCTAGCCAGCCTCCAGTAATCATCTTTATTTCGAACAGTTGATTCCAATGTCTCTTATCTTATACTTACTATATACAATACAATTACTCACTTAACCTATCCCTTTCTGGTACCTGTACAACTAATAATCAGAATTTTTTGCTATTCTAATTAGTACAATTTTGGCTAAAAATATAGTGTTTGTGCTGCAGATAGCTGATCTGATTTTGCCTGCTTATAATGAAATAAAAGTATGTTGTTCAGTACTTCTTGTAAATGAATGATGTGGTTGTAAAGCATCAATCAATCAATTTGAAACGGGGAAAAAATATATATATGTATATATACTATATTGCCAAAAGTATTTGCTCACCCATCCAAATTATTGGAATCAGGTGTTCCAATCACTTCCATGGCCACAGGTGTATAAATTCAAGCACCTAGGCATGCAGACTGTTTTTACAAACATTTGTGAAAGAATGGGTCGCTCTCAGGAGCTCAGTGCATTCCAGCGTGGAACTGTCATAGGATGCCACCTGTGCAACACATCCAGTCG